GCTGGTCTGCAGCCAACCTCCATTTCAGTCTGGAGGGCGACCCACAGAGGTTGGCCTCTTCTCTGGACACTGCAGGGGCCTGGTGGCCTGGTCGAGCTCCCTACCCGCAGATCTCCTAGGAGCTTCCCAAGGGATTTGGGAGAGGGCTCCTCCAACCCGCCCTGTGCCCAACCCAGGTCTCTGCTCTTCTTTGGGGGAGCTGGGAGGTGCTGCTCGGCTCTCCCCGAGGCTCTCCTTGACCAGGGTTTTGTGGTGATGACACCAGCGCCCACAGGATGATCCTCACCCACTGTTGATTCATTCCATGGCACTTATTGTCCCTTTATAAAGGGATGAACAAGACCCCGGAAGCTGCCAGAGAGAAGTGGGTGGCCCAGCGAGGACCATGGACGGTGGGTGGTCGTTGCAGAATGGGACTGCCCTCTAATGGTACTCGGATTGCCAGTCCCCGCCACAGGCTGGGTGGGGACTCCTGGCGGGCCTCCTGGAGCCGGTGTGAGGGTCACACGCAGACATGACCCAGCTGCAGGCTGTGAGGAGGCCGGCCGGTGGGGCAGTAGGGGTCCCTCCCAGAGCTTACCGTGTTTTTACGAGGTTAAGATTCTCAGGTGGCAGTCTGGACCCATCTCATGCAGGGTGGGGTCATTCCTGTGGGCAGGACAGGCTGGAGGGGTGGGGTCTGGAAAGACCCAGGGGAGGTTATTGCGGTAAGTCAGACAAGAAGCGGGGAGCTGAATGACCATAGTCTGTGTGACAAGGGAAGTGCTCTCTGTATCAGGTAAGTGACTATAGGAGCTTGATTTTTTAAGACGGTTTGGGTTTTTTGGCACAGCTATGGACCCTCCATTGCTTGCATGAGCTTGTCCCGAGGCTGTTGTGAGATGGCCTTCCCTGGCCTGACCTCTACAACAGGTCCTTCCATCACTGACCTGTGCGCCTGCTCTCCGTGATCACGCTTGTAGGTTCCAGTGTGAGACTGAAGTGTGAGGACCAGAGATTCTAATCTTTATAAAACAGCTGCAGTCTTTTCTGTTGCGTATCTCTTTCTTGGTGGCCCGGTGGCCCCCAGGGGCTGGGCGCTCCATCCTGCGGTGTGGCCTTGGTCCTCGGAGCTCAGTGAGGGGCCCGGACACCTGAGTACCACGAGGACCCGGCCTCCAGAGTGACCAATAATAGGTGGCCGTTTTGTTTCACGTGGAACCCCATCACACACACCCACTTTCTTTTAAACCTACTTTCTTGGATAGAAAAATATGTTGCAATTTCTTACCTGCTGGTGTCTTCTCTCCATTTTTCTTTGTCTTTGGGGACTCTGTCACCTTGTAAGCTGTCCTTCGATTTCATTTGACAGTTTCGGGAGGGAGAGGGGATCAGCCTGAAACCAGACCCGTGTAACCCGAGGTCCCGTGCACCCCACAGGTTCACCATGTTCCACAAGGTTAGGATTCCTCGCCAAGACCTTCTGAACCGGACCGGAGACGTCACCCCCGAGGGTACCTACGTCACCCCCTTCAAGGTACCGTGTCTCCAGGTGTCTCAAGGTCCTGTGCCCGCAAGGAAGAGGTCTGCCACAGGAGCCAGGTTGGCTGGGGCAGACTGCTCTAGGTTTGGGTTCCAGTGCCACCAACAAGGAAGGGGACACTTGGGTCAGCCCCACCTCCAGGGCCCGGGGCTGACAACATGCTGGCCCACAGCTGCCCGCAGGCCTCCCCTCGCCTGCACCACCCCCACCAGCCCCACCAGGTTAGTTAGGGAGGCCGCTCCCCTCAGAGCTGCTCCTCACTGTGGGTTTAAAGGTGAAAGGTTGCTGGTGAGCCATCCACAAATTGGGGTGACAGGGTTTTCTGGTGACTGGGGCTCACTGTCCCCCCAAACTCATTGAGTGGTAGACACACAGTGGCCCTGGGCCCTCTCCAGACAGGTCCCATTTGGAGCGCCCTCCCGAGTGAGTCCTGAGCCCACAGCTGGGACGGCTGTGTCCCGGGAACCCACACACGTCTGAGAACTCTGCCGGGACAGCAGGCCTCAGCCCATCGGAGCTGAGACCCCGGACAAGTGTGCTTAGAGATAAGGAGAGTGATAGACTGCGAAACCGGAAGTCATTTACAAGTGGAGATAAAGTGAATAGGAAAAGGAATAATTGAAAGAAGGAACACAATAGGATGAATAGAGTGGGAGAACGAAGGGGAGGCTGGGAAATCCTGGGAAATGGCAGCTCGAGGGGACGAACGTCAATGAAGAGAAAATTTGGAAAAGCAATGACAATAAATGCCAAGAAGAAAGGAAGGAAACGTGATTGAAGGGTGCCATGGAGAGAGCCCGAGGGGAAGGCAGGAGAACGCACACCCCAGACACACGGTGCAGAAACGTAAGAATTTCAAAGAGAGAATCCCGAAGTCTTCCAGAGAGAGGGTAGGCATCTGACGCCAACGGAATAAAACTCACTTTCCTTCAGACGTCTCCAGCCTGACGCCAAATGCGAGCAGACAGGAGATGATGTTTTCTACTGCAGAGGAAGATGATTTAAATGTACACTTTTAAATCTAACTAGATTGTCATTCGTATGGGAGAACTAACAAACATTCCGAAGTGTGCCCAGTTTGGGAAGGCTGACACAAACTCCACAGGGGCTGCAATTTTGGAAGAAAAGCCCAAATAACAAAAGATGTGAACCTGGGAGAGGCAGCAAGGGGTGGGGAGGGCCAGGTGATGGACGATTCCGGAAGGCTCTGGCGCCGCCACGGGCCTGAGAAACGCGGTGCTGGCGCGCCAAGATTTATAATCGAAGGTTAAAACTGGATGCCCACGAGAAGATTGTCCATTTTAAAGGAACGCAGATGAGCATCACACCCCTTCAAATGGTTGCCTTTGTCGGGGGGGGGGGGTGTCAAAGGGAGGCATTTATAAAACAAAACATTGATGCCAGCCACACAGTCTCTGTCTGGGGTTGCCCCGCCCCGTCGCCTCCCACCGTGGGCTCTTGCACAGGCTGTGTCTGAGCGCAGTGAGGTTGACAGCAGGGCTTCCAAATCTCCCGGTGGGCAGTTTGCACCCCTGCAGGCCCTGCGCCTTTGCACAGCACTGCTCCCTCTGCTGCAGCCCCCTCCCCCGTGGAGCTGAGCGTCCCCCAGAGCCTCCCCACCCCATCCCACCACGATTCACTAATGACACCTGCACCCCTGCAGCCCAGCCGGGCCCTCCTGCACCTGGAGCTCTGTGTCGGGGGGCACCCTGGGGGCAGAGCCCAGGAGGAACAGGTGCCCCTCCATCTTTGTGCCTGTCTCCTGAGGTGGCCTGCCATGGTCCTGCT